TCCAAATGCACTCTCTTTTTGTTCCAGCCAGGCAGGGTCAGTTCCTGTCATGACAATCCAAGGACTCTAACTGGCACACTGGGCCAGTTAGAGTGGCTCTCCTCATTCCTCTCTTCCTTCCCCCCTTCCCTGCCTCCCTCTCTCGTCTTTCCCACCTCTCTTTTTCCCTTGCTCTCTTTCTTCCATGAATGACCGAGACAGACAGACAGCACCTCCAACAGGTCTTCCTATCACAACCCACCTCCCGCTTCAGCCAGCCATGAATCACGGGCACGCAAGCAGCCAGCATGTTCGGGAGGTCTTGGGCTGTGCATCTTGCCCCTTCCCACATGGGTCAGCGCACAGAGCGTCGCGTAGCTGCTGCACCACCATCTGACACCTCGCTCTCTTTCTTATAAAAACAAGGTAGAGCCTCTCCTTGTGCAACCGGGCACCTGCTCAGAGCTACCCAGTCCTAATGGTGATGTCAGAAATGGATTAGGTCATAGGCCTTACTCTGAGAAGCAAAGCTTCACTGTGCCCAGAGGAGAAAACTGCCAGGCCTGCATTCAAAGCAGCCCACTGTCTTAGTCCATCAGGGCTGCTGCAACAAAGCACCACAGACTTGGTGGCTTCTGAACTACAAAACTTACTGCTCACAGTTCTGGAGACTGCAGTCTGAGATCAGAGTGCCAGACTGGTCCCGTCCCAGTGAGGGTGCCATTCTGGGTTTGTAGATGGCGTCTTCTCCCTTACACTCACACAGCGCAGGGCAGAGAGAAGCAAGCTCTCTTGAAACTCTTAAAAGGGCACTAATCCCATTCATGAGCACTCCATTGTCAGGGCCTAGTCACCTCCCAAAGCATCACCTTGGGGAGGTAAAGAACTTTAGGGGCACACAAACAATTCCATCTATAGCACCTATCTAGCTAATAGGGGTTCAAAATTGGTACAGGTGGAAGTGTGGGGGCTAGAGAGAGAGAGACCTGCTTTAGGCATGTGACAGGATAGTATTTCATGACTTTCGATGACTTTGGGCAGGGCACTCCCCTTCCTGTGGCAGTTCCATCTCTGCCCATCGATCCAGTCGTACCTCGCCTCACTTACGTTATCTGCCTGCATCTCCTTCGCCGTTGATTTCTTAGTCCTTAGCTCTGCTACCTCGCTCTCTACACCAGCAAGGAGGAGAAGCACAAGCAAGCACACACACGTGTGCACACACACTACTCAGCACATTCCACCCTCTGCACTTCCCCACAGCTGGAGTGTTAGCAGACAAACTTTTAAATTAAAAGCACACCATGCAAGGAAACAGTCTCTGTCCCAGGGAGAGCACACACGAGCGACAAGGTTCCTTTAATTACTCAGACCACAATGTGGAAATATCAATACCCAGGAGCTGAGCCAAGGAGCTGCTTCCTACACACTGAGGACAAATGTGTGCCTGATTTAGAAAGGAAGCAGGCAATATCCTGCCACTCCAGTTTCAGTGGTGGGCTCTGCCTCTTCTCTGCTCCAGCTCTCAAACCCCAGCTCCTTAGAATACACATCGCAGCCAGGCCCTCAGGACTCTACTCGACGAGTCAGGACTGGTGCAAAGAAACACCACCAAAGGGCTTTCAGTCCCCTCTCGGTACTTTTCACACTCATCTAACTGGCCAGTACAAACCAGCAGAGTTAGCTCTACAAGCAGGCTGCTCCAACCACGGGAAGAGGATCAACTAGAGTCAGGCTCTCTTGGTTCAGACCCCAGCTCCACCACAGCCTGATCCCTTTAGAGAAGTCTTCTACAAAGGCTGTAATACAGAACCTAACAGAACGCCTGGCTTGGTCTGCTGTACGTCTGGCGTAGTGCGTGATGCACAGTTAACTCCTGTGATGCTCCACACAGGCAGTTGGTCAAAGGCCCACCACACATCTCCGCCCTGCCCCTCAGCACCCCCTTCCTGCCTGAAGTTTATGTCACTAAAGTTAGTTCTCTACGCTTAACTGTGTCAGCCTCCAGAAAAAAAATCACCTTTAAAATACAAATACTAGCTGGGAGGAAAGGAGAGCGATACAGAATTCCTCCCATCTCTCGGTCAGTTAGTGACAACACAGGAACAGAGTACGGGTCCCTCAAGATTCTCTCCCTCTTCTCCCTCCTCTCCACAGGCGACCTCTCTCCCACCTATGTCTTCAATTACTACCTCCAGATCAATGGCTCTCAAAGTTCTCTCTCCAGTTCAGGCAGCTCCTCTGAGCTCTAGATCTTCAGACCAAACTTCTTAATTACGATTTCCTCAGAGGTTCCATAGACACCCCAAACTTCCTTACTTGTTTCCTCCACCCCCAATCTGGTTCTTTTCCAGCATTTCTAGTCTCAGGGAATGGGTCTGACCTCTACCCAACTCGGCAAGCCAGGAAACCTGGGGCCATCCTGGACACCTCCCTCTCCCCGTGGCCAAGCCCTCCTCATGTCTCCCCCTAAACACTTCTCAGGCCATCATTCCTCTTCCTTTCCAACGCATATCTCTCCCTTCAGATACCATGACCTCAGCCATGGAAGATCACCCTAGTTCTTGCCCCGCTCTATCTCCCTGTCCATTCTCCACCCAACACAACTAAACAATCTTCAAAACTGCAAGTGTTATCATCTGACCTTCCATTTAACACCCTCCAATGGTTTCTCATTGCTGCTAAGATAATGACCAAAATCCTGAACATGGACTACACGGCTCTGCAGTGGACAACCTTGCCGACCCCTGCACCCCACCTCTGGCCTGTGCTCCCCGCTGCAGCCCTCCACACGGCCACCGCTCAGACCGTGGTCAATGTAGCTCCTTCCGCCCCCGCCCCAACTCCACCTGCCAGCTCCTATGTCAATGGGTTGGCTGCTGCTGCTGCTCCCCTCAGGTCTTATTCTCCATGGTGCTTATTCAAGGAAGCCTTTGCCAGCTCCCCTCAGGGCAGGGCCCCTCGTAGTTCCCGTTGTGGTGCAACAGAGAGACCATCATCACAAGTTCACTGCTGGTGCCTGGGATCCACCTCCTACCTCAGACCAGAATCTCCGCAAGAGCAGAGAGCACACCTGGCTGCCCACCTCCAGCGCCTGCATTAAGCATATGTTTACCTAACACACATTTAAAAGGTCTCCCATGTGACAGATTATGTAACTTGGGGCTTATGTAGAACATCATCCAAGGGGGCACAGAAAAGAGTGAAATTTGGGAAGATCTGCAGTACAGATGGGCAACACAGAGAAAATGGCGCCGGGTAAAGAGGCCGAGAGGGGCAGAGTGCCCAGAAGAGATAAGCATGAGAGTGAGTCAGGCACCAAGGGGCGGGCAGATCCCACAGGACAGCCTGTGCTGAGGACAGCAATTGGAGGGCTGGAGCTTGGTGACAGATGGGAGAGAACACAAAATGACAAGGCTAACTGCCCATCCCACAGTAGTTAGAAGGCCAGTCCCCCCAATTCTTTACCAAAAGGCTTTATTAAAGGTCTCAGTCACCGAGCAGAGAACTGACCCACGAGATTCCAGAAATAGAACAAAACCTCAAACAGCCACTTTCCTCTCTTGCCAGCCACCCCTCCCCACTCTCCTATTCCTGCCAAACTGCAAGGAATCGTCCACCAGTCCCAGGTGCTGAATTATTCAATTATTCTAGCAGCTTTCAAAACACGTGTGTAGCAAGAAAACCTTCCAAGGAGAATCATGTTATTTAGGCTACTAGGTCATTTCTTGAACCTGCCTTGGATTCTCATTTGCCACGTAACTGTTTTTCACTTAAACAGTAGCTCATTGACACTCCTCCCTTACTAGCGAAAAACAGTGGCAAGCGTATAATCACAAGGCAATCGCTGCTTAGTCCGCAGTCACGGGCGGCGTCACCTCCTGATCCCACACGAAAGCCCGAGCCCCAAGCTCCCACTTACCCAGAGCTATGGCCTGCTTCAGTGTCTGAAATAAATCCTGAACACAGCTGAAAGGAGCTGAAGGACAACAACTATCTGCCCTCCCCACCACACACACACACACACACACACACACACACACACTGCTTTATTTTGGTAAAAGAGAACAAATAAAAAGACGTTCAGGATCAATGGTTGGCATAATGGTTACGTTGCTGGACTCCCACATAGCTGCCCACCGACCCAGGACTTGAACTCGCACCTGGTGCGTGTACATGAGTGCCCAAAATCTTAGAGGAAAATGCAGGAGAAAGGATTGTGATGTAGCCATCCCCCTGGGGCAGGGGGTGATTTCTAGCTTTCTGTCTCTGTCTCTCTGGGAAGCACACACTCCCTGTTGCAAAAATCTCTCTTAAAAAAAAAAAAAGAGAAAGAGAGACTTCCACCACCTTCTAACCTCCGTCACAATGTGACAAATCACAAAAATAATCTGTCTGCACTCAGATCTGGAAACTCCTCTTAACGCCCCACCCACAACCCACCCACCCACTGCATGTCAGCTCTCCGAGATATTTTCTCCCAGGAGAACTAACTAAAGAGAATATTTGGGAAAAAGGAAAACTAGTCACGGAACAAGCCTTTCAGACTCCATTTTAGCAGCGGGCTTCCTCAGTAGCACTCTATTTCTGGCTCTGAGGAAGCAGAGCATGAAGTTGTGTTTGGCCAAAAATGACAAGTATTTGCCAGAGATGACTTTTGACCCCAAATCAGTTAGATAAACTTGCATAAAAGAGAGTGACATCGTTCATGTAGTAAAAAGCAGTCTGACCCACAAAGTCTCAGGCTCTGCTCTCTAACCCTCAAACAGACCTACGAGAGAGGGCATTACGGTAATAGACAGAGGGCATCTCGCTGGAATTGATTAGGGCAATCTGGGAAAAACCCACTCGCCTACACTAACGACGTGTGCCAGCCGAGTGGAGGGTGGAGGCAGGGACCCGTGCCGGGGAGTAAGAGCAGCAGGCTGACGCGAGGCCCGAGCTCCCCCATCATCCCCTTCCCCAAGTGTCTTCCAGGGGCCACGAGTCACAGGAAAGAGAAAGCACCTCGGCCGCCTCCTTACCACTCCGCCACCTGTTCAGCTCCATCTCCAGGTGCTGAATGACATTCTTTAAGGTCTTGTTTTTTTCTTTCTCTTTTTCATATTTCTTCTTCCATTCTTCTGCTGTCAGTTCCAGGTTCACAGAAACCGTATTCTTAATGGTCTTTGCTCTGGGATTTAAAAACACAGGGAAAAACTCTGAGTAGAGCTATTACCACTAAGCCGCAGATTCCTTTCACATCGGAAGGTGGGGACTGGGGGAGCAGCAACTCCCACCGACCACCCTCCTAGCTGGATGAATGCTGCTACTCCTCCTCAGGGGTCCACACTCATTGCTCCCTTTCTCTCCTGCACATCCTGCCAGTTTTCACATCCCACAGACTTCCATTAGAACTGCCGCTCGGAGGCACTCGTTTACTCCCTCTGCCGCCCCCGTTTATATTCTCCGTTTCATTTACGTTAATAGCCTTTGTCGAATGTTCGGCATCTCCTGTAAGCATCCCGAATACCACTACCAGATCATCTTCCCAAGCAGAGTTTCTTTCCAATTCAACAAACATTTAAGAATCACTGGGGATGTAGCAAGACAGATAGCTAAGGCCTCTGGTCTCCGGCCTTGGAGTTTCTTATCCAATGATACACAGACAAATAATGCAGCCAGCCATTCCTCCTACGCACATGTGGTACCTAGAGCCATCCCTGACGTGCTGAACACATGGCAACACACACCCCACAGGTCATGTATGTCACATGACTGAACGAGGCTGGCCAGTGGCACGAGGGCTCCCCACTGAACACATGCCACCTCATTTTCCAAGAAGGATCAGAAATTCTATTTGTATCTCCCAAGTTAAAATCATTTCAAAAAACAGCATGTAGAGCAAACACGTCTAACAGCCACCATTTTGCCTCTTCTACTATAAGAAATGACATGATCTCCTGGGACATATGGCCTGAGAGGTTATGATGCCACATGGGTGGTAGCTGGGCTGAAAGAATCAACTGCTAAGAGAAAATCAGCACTAGATGAGACTAAACCCAAAAACACAATGGCCCTTGGCATGTGCAGAGATGAACGTGTGAGCACCCTGACCCAACTGAAAAGGACACCGATCATGGCAGAATTCCCTTTATTACTTACGTGCTGAGAAGGTAAAGTTCGTTTAAACGCAGGTGATATTTTGTGTGATTTGCTATCAACTCTTTCATTTTAAATTCCGTACAGTTCTTACACTGTCATATTTGCCAACAAGATCTGGTATGCAATTCAAGTTCATTACTGTTGTCATCAAATGACATTCTGGACATGATTTCAGCACAAGAAATTCCATGGTCCTCACCAACGCTACAGATGTTACTCCAAAAATTAATCCTAAAGCAGACAACTAAATAACCCAACTGTCAAAAGCGGAGTTGAATGACTTCAGTGCAAGACTCCACTTAAGAATTGTGTAATTCTCCTTCGTTCACCATAGCTTGAGGCTGTTGTCCCCAAAAATGCTTCAACTCTAATTCCTCAAATAGCAGCAATTTTATTATTACTTTCAAGTCTGTTCCAGTTTGACACTCTCACCTCGCCTTCTAATATCCTCAGGAGGTGCTGTGGCTGTTTCTCAGATGCAAGCACAAACACGGCAGCATCCATTATCAACCTAATAAGTCGGAACGTGAAAAATAACTCATGGCTAAAATGCTTGTGGACTTCAAGGGTACACTTCGAGGCTACTAATCTTACTTCTTAAATCATAAAGAGTCTCTTGATGATTTTGAATGATACCGGAAAGAGAAAGAGAGAGCCTCTATGCTATCCTCAGGCAGTTTAGTCAGAGGCACATTTTGTGAGCTGATCTAGCAAGGTTTTCACTGATGTAAATGGTTCCCATTTCAAAGCCCTTTTAAAAGTTGCCCAGAAAATTCCTTTTCTTCTACTTCTGTAGTAATCAGGGTCCTGGCAGGAAACAGACACTGCATTAACTTGGAGAGTCTAACAAGGTACAGGAAAGGTGTTGAGAACTAACAAAGAATAATGTGGTACCCCATATTAATGATGGGAGAGCCACTTCTACCAGAGGGAGAAGAAACTGGAGAGAAAGGTTGCCTGATGAAACTGGAACAGCCTTTGGTCTAAGGACACAGCCAACCCAAATGACACTGCAGAGAGAGAGAGCCAGGTAATAAACATCCTGACCTTACCTGCTTCTCTCCTCCTGATCACTTGCCAGTATTCCTTCCCCATTGGGTAAATCCAACTGGAAGCCAGAGGGGAGGGAGCCCATTGCAGTAGTCCACACTAGTCACCCTCTCAGGGCACACAACAGAGCAGGATGGTCAGAAAAGATCCAGGGGGGTAGACAGAAGGTATGCAACCCAACTCTTGTTTGGAACTCAAGGGGCAGAGGGGCAGAGAGGCATGCCTTCACATACACTAAAAGCAGACTACGAAGAAACCAGCTAACACTGATCAAGGAAGACATTAATTCTCCCCAAACTGTTCTATACATTTAACATATTCCCGCTCCCCCAAATTTTAGGATGCTTGTTCTTTATGTATAGAAATTGACAAACTGACTTGAAAATGTATAACAGAAATGAGAAGGACTGGGCCAGCTCCATGGCCAAATGATTATTAGAGTCAGATCCCACACAGGCCACCACACAGTTCAAGTCCCCATGGATGGCTTGAAAATCACACCAGGTATGTGTGCATATAAGCCCAAAATCATGACAGGATGGAGAATTGGAGAAGGGATTACGGCATGACCATATCTGGGGAGTGTGTGCTCGCGCTCTCTCTCTCTCTCTCTCTCTCTCTCTCTCTCATCTCTCTCTGGTGAGTACATGTACTTTCTGGCAAATTTTTTTTTAAAAAAAGAAATGAAATGAAATGAAATGAAAAATACCAAGAATAGCAATGACAACTTTGAAGGTCAAATTTAGAGGACTGAATAGCAATACTATGAATATAAGGCCACAGTAATTAAAACTGATTAAATAGTAAAAAATTTGGAATGGAAAGCGTCAATTGTCCAGAATCAGACACTCATATACACAGTTACCTGATTTATGACAAACAGCCCTGACAGAACAGTGGGAAGGAGGTCCTTTCAACATATGGCATGGAGGAAAGAGAACTTTATTCCCCTATTTCCGGCAATTACCCCTTTTAAAAAAATCTAGGGGTCAGCAGGTGGTGTGGTGATTTAGATGCTGGATTCTAACATGGAGGACCGTGGTTTGAATCCTGGCCAAGTAGCTTGAAACACCAGGTACATGTGAACGCACCCAAACTCCCAAGGGCAGAATGGAGAAGCATTTGTGGCATGACCATCAGCCCTGGTGGGCGATTTCTCACTTTCTCTCTCAATGTCTCTCTCTGGCAAGGGCATGCACCCTAAAAAAAACTTTAAAAAATCTGTTCTGGATGGATCATAAACATAAATGTGAAGGTAAGACAATAAAGTTTTTTAGAAGAATATATAGGTAAATATCTTCAAGATCTTGGGGGTTGGCAGACTTCATAAATATGACACAAAAGAAAAATTGAGTTTGACTTCATTAAAATTAAAAATCTCTCTTAATTGAAAGCCATCACTGGGGCCAGCAGATGGCACAGAGGTTACATTACTAGATTCCTACATCGCCAACCACAGTTCAAGTCCCAGACTTGGTGGTTAGAAAATCACACCAGGCCCACGTGTGTGCATGCCCTAGATCCTGGGGGGAGAAGAGAAGAGAAGAGAATGCAGGGTGGCCATCCCTCAAAGAGTGATTCCTCATTTTCCCTCTCACTGTCTCTGCCTCTCGCTTTCTCTGGTGAGTGCACATGCCCTAAGGCAAAAACCTCTCTAAAAAAAGGGAGCCACCATTAAGAAAGTTAAAGAACAAATCACAAAGTGGGAAAAGATATATGAAATATATACAAACACACACACACACACACATACACACACACAGGACATACTCCAAACAACTTCTTGTTTTGTTTTGTTTTTATTTTTGTTTTTTTGTGGAGAGGCTTTCGCTATAGGGCACGTGCATTCGCCAGACAGACAGAGAGAGACATAGAGACAGAAAGCGAGAAATCACCCCCCCAGGGGGAATGGTCATGCTGCAACCCCTTCTCCTCCATTCTCCTATCTCGGGTCCCCACCACCACGTGCCCGGCCGGAGTTTTAAGCCACCAGGTCCGGGACACGAACCACTATCAACTACGTGGGAGTCCAGTGACATGGCCATTATGCTAACTGCTGGTTCCCACAACTTCTTTTTTTTAGAGAGAGATTTTTGCTATAGGACTCATGAATTCCCCGGAGAGACAGAGATTAGGAAAATAAAAAATCACCCTCCTGGGGGGATGGCCATGTCACAGTCCCTTCTCCTCTCCTCTCAGGATTTTGGGCACGCATACACATGCACTTGGTGTGAGTTTTAAGCCTCTGGGTCTGGGACTAGAACTGTGGTCGGCCATCTTGGAGTCCAGCGATGTAACTATCATGCCATCTGCTGGTCCCCCAGGATAACTTTTATAAATTAATGAGAGAAAAACTGGACAAAGTGCCAATAAAATACCTCCAGAGGAGCCAGCAGATGGTGTAATGGTTACATTGCTGAACTCACACATGGCTGACCAGAGTTTGAGTCTCAGACGTGGTGGCTTGAAACTCACACTAGAAGTGTGTGCTTGCGTGCCCAAAATCCTTAGAGGAGAATAGAAGAGAAGGGATTGCAGTGTGGCTATATCCCCTGTCGGGTGCTTTCTCATTTCCTAACTCTCTTTCTCTGTCTCTCCAGCAAAAGCACACACCCTATACCAAAAATCTCTCTCTAAAAAAAAAAAAAAAAACCTCCAGAAAAGTGATTGGGAAAATGCAAATTAAAACTACAATGAAGGCAGGTTCTGTAGCTCAGCAATGATGTGCTGCTCGGGAAAAGCCAGATCTCACATGGTGACTATGGCTTCAATTCCTGGCCCAGTCAGCCCAAAATGTGGCAGGCACACGTATGGATGTCCAGACCTAGCAAGCTGGAGGGCTGTAGAGGGTGCTCCTCTCTCTCCTTCTCTTTCTCTCACACGCATGCATACATATTCCATCATGAACAAAGGGGAAAAGCATTACAATGAGATATCTTTACACATGCAATAGAATAGCTAAACATTTTAAAACTGAAA